CTTGTATGCATATATGTCCGAAATCCCAAGAGGAGATGGAAGAAAAGGGATTGCAGTGTGGCCATCTCCCTAGGAGGTGGTTTCTCACTTTCTCTCTCTCTGTCTCCCATGAGCGCATGCACCCTATAGCAGAAATCCCTCTTAAAAAAGAGAGAGAGAGAGAGAGAGAAATAAAGGATAGAATCACCAGACAATTAAGGGTCTTGAAGTACAAAAGAGGAAAGAGAAAAATAAACAACTAGTTATGAAATAGGAAATTTACATGCAGCAGAATAGAACTTTAAAATATATATATATGGCACTATAGACTCCTAGTCTGGACACAATGGTATAACCCCCGTTACTCTTATACCAACAGCAGACAACAGCAGTACAAAAAAGGTAAACTACACAGTACAAGAAAGGTAAGCCACTATCTCTTCTGAACTTAATAGATATAAAAATCCTTAACAAAATATTAGCAAACTGAAGCCAACCATATATAAAAAGAGTTATATACCATGACCAAACTGAATTTATTCACTTAAATATTGGATTTTTTTGAAAGATCTTTGATTGAAAGTAGGCAAGACTGATTCAATAGTCAGAAATTAATCATGTAGGGAACCAGCAGTTAGAGTAATGGTTATGTTGCTGGACTCCCATGTAGTCAACCGCCGTTCGCGTCCCGGACCCGGTGGCTTAAAACTCACACTGGGCGCGTGTGTGTGCGTGTCCAAGATCTCCAGAGGAGAATGGAGGAGAAGGGATTGTGGCATGACCATCTCCCCTGGGGGGTGATTTCTCACTTTCTGTCTCTATGTCTCTCCCTGTCTGTCTGGCGAGCGCACGCGCCCTATAGTGAAAACCTCTCCAAAAGAAAAAAAAAAAAGAAATTAATCATGTAAGCCACCATATCAACAAGCTAAAAACATAAAGGAATGTGATCATATCAGTCAAGACTGAAAAAATATTTGACAAAATCCAACACATATTAATGATTTTAAAAAGTCAACAAGTTAGAAATAGAGAGAAATACTTTATCTTGATGAAGAGCATCTACAAAACTCAAGACTAATATATTTACTGGTGAGAGATTTTAATGCTTTTTCTCTAAGATTAATTGTCAAGTGAGACTATACATTCCCACAATTCTTATTTAAAACATTGTTGGAAATCTAGCTATGGGAATGAGGGGGGAAATAAGAAGTAAAGTTTATATATGTTGTAAAAGAAATAATACATTTATTTCTATTTGGAGTTTCCATTAGTGTCTACCTATAAGATTACAAGGAATCTATAAAACAACACCCTAGTACAAATAAGTTCAATAAGGTCAGTATACAAGATAAACACACATAAAACATCAATGACATGTCTATATTCTAACAATAAAAATGTGGGAATCCAAACTAAAAGGATGATACCATTTATAATCACTCCAAAGAAAATGAAATACACTTAGCAAAACAAATGTAAGCTCTATATGCTGACAATTACAAAATGCTAATGAAAGAAATCAAAGATCTAAATAAATAAAGAGATATGAAATGTTAATTGAAAAATTAGGCATAATGAAGATGTCAATTCTCCCCAATTGATTTATTATTTGAATGAAATTTCTATCAATTTCCCAGTAAGCATTTCTAAAGACATAGACAAGCTTATTCTAAAATTTATATGGGAATATACAAAACTTAGAATAGCCAAAACAACCTTCAGAGAGAAGAATAAAGTAGGAGTCATAGTCATATGTTAAGGCTCACAGTATAAGTACAGTATCTAGCCAGTATCTTTTCAATAGAAGAGACCCATAGAACAATGGAATAAAATAGAGCACCAGAAATAGCCCCAAACCAATATGTGGAAGTAATTTTGACAAAGGTCTAAAAGCAATTAATTAAAGGAAGAATAGCCACGAACTAGCAGGTTGCATGGTGTTTAGGGTGCTGGACTCCCACATGGCTGACCGTGGTTTGACTCCCAGCCCTGGTGGCTTGCTTTCTCACTTTTCCTCTCTCTCTCTCTGGTCAAATTAATAATAGTAGTTATAATATTAAATACAATCTAATATTTTTTTTAAAAAAGGAAGAATAGCGTTTTCAACAAATAATAAAACAATTGGACATTTTTAGGCAAAAAGAAAAAATAAATAAAAAGAATCTTGACTAAAACCTCACTCCTGAAAAATAAGTAACTCAAAATGAATCATTCATTTAAGAGGAAAATATGAACCTATAAAATGTTTAGGAAATAAAAATGGGGAAAAAATCTTTGGAGTCTGGAGAGAGGCAAAGATTTCTCATACTTGACAATATGAGCATAAACCCACAAAAAATGAGGTAAAGGAAAAGTTGATATATTAGACTTATCAATATTCAAAATATTTGCTCTCCAAAAACCCATATCAAGAGGCTGAAAGACAAACTACAGACTGGAAGCAAATATTTGGAAACCATACATCCAGAAAAGAACCCAATATCTTCCCAGTAAAAAAAGAGTTAGTAACCACTTAGCAGGGTGAGTCCCATACTGAGTAAAACAAGATCATTCTAAACATGAGAGACCTTAGAAAATTCTCTTATTTATTCTTTCTGAGAAAATTACTCAAGTGTATACTCCAGCATGCAAGGGGAAACTTGTTAAAATTATTAATCCAATAAAAGGAAAAACTTAGAGAACAACTGAGAAGAAGCTTCACATAACACCTCATCTAAACTAGGGTTAGTGGTATCCATGCAAAATATCTCTGAAAGACAGGAATATATATCAAAACAGAACCAGAAGAGCTTGTGAAACATTAACTTCATATGAAGAAATATAACTCTTCCAATTACTTAAAAAAAAAAAAAAAAAGGAGAGAAAAACAATGGAAATACCAGTAAAAAGAAATACAAGTCTTAGCCCAATACAAAACAATCCAAAAGATGGAGTGATTTTTATTTATATACAGAGAAAGAAAGTTCACCAGCAACTTTGATTTTGACCATAGACCCCATGACTTTGATACTGAGAGCATTGTAATTTAAGTGACAAAGGAGGAGTGATGGTATAGAAATTTCAGTCAATGAAATGAAACTCTAGCATAGATTTTGATTTCACAATAAGCAACATTCATATTTATAAGCTTGCTTAAAAATATAGTGCTGTGATCAGTAGATGGTGTAATGGTTACATTGCTGAACTCTCATATAGTCGATTGTGATTTGAGTCCCAGGCCCAGAAACTTAAAACTCATGCCAGGCACATGTGCATGTGTGCCCAAGATCCTGAGAGGATAATGGAGAAGGGATTGTGGTGTGGACCTCCCCCTTAGAGGATGATTTCTTGCTTTCTGTCTCTCTGTCTCTCTGGTGAGTGCATGTACCTTAAAGCAAAAATTTCTTTTAAAAAATGTAATTTTATAAACTTCTATAATTAACCTATAGCCAAAACAAGAGCTACAGTTATTTAAAACAGATTGGGAGGTAGAAGATAGAAGGTAGAATAGATGCACTTAAAATTCTTATTTTACAACTTAGGGAGTCAATCTATATTTTCAAAGATTTATGTAACATAAAATGAGGGGCTATGGATTTCATTTATAGTTATAAGAGTAACTGTTTGAAGCATTAAAAATAGTGATAAAACTGTCAAAAGTGGAGAGAAGGGGAAGTGGGTGTGATATTAAAGAGCATCCTTTTCAATCATAGTAAAATGTTAAACTGAGTATATATAAAGTTTGCACAACAAGCATTATCCCAGGGCAGTCCCATAGGGCAGCAATTAAGTGCTATGCATAGGTTGCCAGATTCCAGTGGTCAGTTGGGGCTCAAATTCTAGCCTTAGAGGCTTGAAAAAAATGCACTGGGCACGTGTACATGACTGCCCAGAATCCTAATGAGATAAGAGGAATGGAGGAAAATAAACTGTGTTGTGCACATGTCCCATTGTGAGGTGCTTTCTATCTCCTCTCTCTCTCTCTCTCTCTCTCTCTCTGGCAAGAAAGAAGAAAGAGAGGAAAAAAAGCATTAGTCCCAAAAGCAAATTATTCAGACTCATGTCTAATTCTCAATAGGATTAGATACAGAAATAGTTAAATTTGCTGCCCTTGGAGAATGGAATAGAAAGTGATCAGGTGACAGTCTCTCACCTTTATTTTATAAGCTGGTCTATTCTATTTGACTTTCTACTACAGGCATACATTACATTGATCAGGGGAAAAAAAATTATACAAGATTCACTAGCTATACCCCCATGGGAGGCCCTGGCCCAGGATCTTTCTGCAAGGCATTGTAAAGTAACTCAAGGGATACACACTTAGGAAACATCTGCCATTGTGGTGAAATGTCGAGAAGGGAACAATAAAAGCCACAAATGAGAATCACAACCCAAACACCACATGTATGAACATCTGTGTTAATTCTGACAAATTGTGGTGGTCATGCTTTGACCTCATCCATCACTGCAAAACACCCAACTCCATCAGGGACAAAAACACCCTTGCCTTTGAGATACTAATTCTATCTTATCAATATAGGTCTATACACATCTTGAGTATGTGAGGGAGATTAGATATCACTGGGGCAATTTAGTTGTGATTGTTTAGACAGCCCTAAAGCTCTCTACGTTTATAATGGCTAGTCATTCTGTACTCATTATAATCAACTCTCATGGAGACCAGTAAAATAAAGGATTTCTGCTGACACTCATATACATTGAATTAGATTTTTAGAACATATTCATTTGTTTTTACTCAGTCTTTTAAATACATAACTCTAGTTACATTTCCAAGTTTGCCTCTGTCATTATTCCCTTGAATTCTTTTGTGAAAAGCTGTGAGGGAATACAGCCTGTCTGATCTCAGCAGTCTCTTTGATGACCCGATCACTGTGCTAGGGTTCTGAGCCAAGTGTGGACACATGGAGAGCAGACAGGGTCTGGGTTCTGGGCCAGCTGGGCTCCAGTCAAAGCAACCTCCAGGAGCACAGTAGGTGGAGCTCAGGTGCCGTGTTCACACGCTGCCTTTGGAAAGCCATGCAGCTGCTTTTAGCCAAACAGCCGCCTCCATTTGACCCTTTCCAGACAGAGAACTTTCCTCTGAGCTGAAACTCACAGATGTGAGTAATTATGGGGAGAAAGCAATTCCTGGGAGGAGGCTTTGGGCTCATCCTGTCAGAAGGAGATAGGGAAAAGCTCCTTAGGAGGTGGCTCTGGGGAGGGTTTGGGGTCATTTGGGGAAAACTATGCAAGTGAAAGAGGGTTTCTGATGGGATTTACCGTACCCTCCTCTCTTTCTCAGGAACAGAAGTTTACACTGCATTTTGATTAATCTGCCCAGTTGTAAATCTGCAATTTGTGCCTTCAGGAGTCTCCTTTGTCTTAAGTGATGTGCTCTGGCTGGAGCACTAACAAACCCTGCAACCTTGGACAGGTGAGTTGACTGCCTGTTGCATATGTCACCACGTCTGTTAAAAGGGAAGAATCTATTAATACCCACCCTAAAGGATTATTTAAATATACATGAGATAACCTGAGTGTTAGCAAATACTCTGTGCTAGTAATAATAACTACTAGTGATCATTTTTCTCCCCTACGAAGAGTACACTATGCCCAGAAGTGGAGAGTGGAAATCTGAAAGTTACGAAGGGAGGCTTAAGGTGGGAGAACTGTGAAGCATTCTTCTCTGGACTTCCCTGTGGAGGACATGTGTGTAGTCAGTCATCTACATCACCTAAAGGAGAATCAGAGTGCTAGGGCGAAGAGAGAGAGCAAAACAGGGACCGACTTGGTGGCACAGAGTTAACACGCTGTGTAAGCCCTGTCGGATCCATAGGCAGGGTCGCTGGTCCAAGTCCCCAGTCAATCTGGACATGTCAGGCATGGGGGCCCAAGATCCTGACTGACTAGGAAGGCTGGGAGGGAAATCACAGTGTGTTGAGGGTGTTTGTTTCCCTGTTTCTCTCTCTGTCTCTCATTCTTATTAATTAGTAAAACCTTAAGAAAAAAAAAATGCAAAGCAATTACTATTCCATCTTGGGCTTCCAACATAAGCTTGGGATGCCAATCTCAGAAAATGGGAAACTGGTGTCGATAGCCAAAGCTTTTCATTTGCAAGAGTTAATTTTGTACGTGTTGTGGAGGGGTGAGGGCTCTTTAGATTCCAAACCATAAAGCTCTGTTGGAGGTGAGAAGTCATGTTTGTGTTATAATAACCATTTGCAGATGGAAAGTGGGAAACTCACATAACACCCTCCACATCAAGACTAGACAAGACTAGGGTGCTCACATAACCCAAGGCCAACATGGGTCACTGTTGACTGAAAAAGGGGATATTATTAGTCATTATGTTGGGGATCAATGAGTAGGCCAAAACTGACCTGGGCAGATCAGGCATAGGGCCACCTAGCCAAGGTACACTGGCTGGGATAGGGGGAGACCAAAGCCAGAGACGGAGAGAAACAAGACCTAGGGCACTATGTGGAGGAAAGCAGGGTCGGTAGAATGAGCTCCAATCCTTTGCCAACATCAGGGGCTGTCCTGAGAAAGAAAGGACTAGCAGGGCATCTATCAACACTACTAGAGTAAGCCCTGCTGTCACCTGCCTGAGGAGCCAGATGGCCTCTGGGGACAGCCTTCCACCATAGCTGCTAGCATATTGCCTGTGCATTGTCCAGCGGAGGTGACAGTCACTCCCTCCCACCACCTTAACTTTCTACTTGGACATTGTCTTTCTTAATGGTTCAGACATTCAGAAGCCTCCAGGAACACAGAGACATGGACTGGGGAGGTCCCAGCATCCATATTTGGATGGAATTAGACCATGCTGGAACCCACACCCTATAGAACAGATTTTACTGAAATTTTTTCAGCCGTGGAAAAATGATAGCAGCTGCAAAGGTGATGATGAGAGGTGGGAAAGTATCACCTTAAAAATGGGGAGGCCTTGGGACTGGCAGTTAGTGTAATGGCTATGTCGCTGATCTCCCACATAGTCGACTGTGGTTCGAGCCCGGGACCTGGTGGCTTAAACTCACGTCGGGCATGTGTGTGTGTGTGCCCAAGAGCTGGAGAGGAGAATGGAGGAGAAGGGATTGTGGCGTGGCCAACCCCCTAGGGTGTGATTTCACACTTTCTGTCTCTCTGTCTCTGTCTGGCAAGCGCACGCACCCTATAGCAAAAACCTCTCCAAAAAACAAAAGGAGGAGGCCTTGAGACCAGCAGTTAGCGTAATGGCTATGTCGCTGATCTCCCACATAGTCGACTGTGGTTCGAGCCCGGGACCTGGTGGCTTAAACTCACGTCGGGCATGTGTGTGTGTGTGCCCAAGAGCTGGAGAGGAGAATGGAGGAGAAGGGATTGTGGCGTGGCCAACCCCCTAGGGTGTGATTTCACACTTTCTGTCTCTCTGTCTCTGTCTGGCAAGCGCACGCACCCTATAGCAAAAACCTCTCCAAAAAACAAAAGGAGGAGGCCTTGAGACCAGCAGTTAGCGTAATGGCTATGTCGCTGGACTCCCACGTAGTCGACCGCGTTCGAGTCCGGGACCTGGTGGCTTAAATGCATGCCGGGCACGTGTGTGTGTGTGCCCAAGATCCCGAGAGGAGAATGGAGGAGAAGGGATTGTGGCGTGGCCAACCCCCTAGGGGGTGATTTCACACTTTCTGTCTCTCTGTCTCTGTCTGGCAAGCGCACGCACCCTATAGCAAAAACCTCTCCAAAAAACAAAAGGGGGAGGCCTTGGGACCAGCAGTTAGCGTAATGGCTATGTCGCTGAACTCCCACATAGTCGACTGTGGTTCGAGCCCTGGACCTGGTGGCTTAAACTCACGTCGGGCATGTGTGTGTGTGTGCCCAAGATCTCGAGAGGAGAATGGAGGAGAAGGGATTGTGGCATGGCAATTCCCCCGGGGGGTGATTTTTTGCTTTCTGTTTCTCTGTCTCTCTCTGTCTATCTGGTGAACACACACGCCCTATAGCAAAAACCACTCCAAAAGAAAAAAAAAATTGGGGAGGCCTTGAGATCTACCACAAAAATCTTAATGTGAGCTTCCCCCCACCTAAAAGTTGAACATAACTTAGCTTAATATGAGTATATCTTTCAGAACTGATGTGGACAAAAGAAAATAAATATGTGAAAATAATCAAAGTGGGCTTTCAGGTTGTGGATAAGGGTTTTTCCAGAGGTTACTTTTCCTGCCCCTCATAATTTCCCAGAGATAAACATGAGCATTATATGTCGATGGCTTTACTCTGATTTCAGCATTGTTCAGTCTTATTTGACCTTAAGGATATTTCTTACTGGCTCTAGGCTGTTAATATTCATAATCACCCACTCTTGTAACTACCAGAAACCTTTCGGAAAACATTTCTTAGGGTGAATTATGTATTTATATGTAAAGCACCAGCAAACATCCTTATGGCCATAACTTTTGGGTGTTTCCAAACTAGATTACAGTAAGACAATGTATTTTATTCAGCAGATTTGTTTTAATCTAATTATGTAGGTGAATAAAAATTACTGCATGCTGGTGCATCTAATGTAAGTTATCTATTATTCACACCACATTTACTTTTAATATTCATGCAGATTCCCTTTGACATAACCTACTGTGTCACAGTTAATCCAATAAAGATAAAATATAGCTCAGCAAAACACCAGTCGATTCCAGCTTTCTGGTAATTATTAAAGACTATTTCACACTGGTTCCTTCAATCAATGTATTTCCCCTTGGATATGATGGTGCTCCTCTTTGAAGCTTTCAATCCTCCCAATGGATTCAGAGGAACACTCAGGCCCCTTTTCCGTCTCTAGGTCTCAGAGGTAGTTCAAAGAGCACAACAAGGCTTCACAGGTTTATCCTCAAAGGCTGACACTGTCTGTTTGATGTATGGGGACTTAAAAAGTCATCCCTGGCAAAGCATGTGTTTGCTACCAGTCTATCGAATCAGCCATTTATCAACTTATCTGTATTCACCCAGTGCACCTGCTAACAGCTCAAAGGAGAACACACACTGTCTCCTGCTGGACTGACTATTGATTTGATTCCCTCCTCTAATTTTATATTGTTTTGCTGTTCTGTGAATGAAGCAACTCCTTTACTAGATGAAATGAACATGGAACCCGTGAATTGATGGCCTTTGGTTGTTGCGTTCAAGAGCCCAGAGGGCAGCAGACAGCTGGGCTGACAGAGTGGATCCAAGTCTTTCTGTCCCAGCATGCCTTGCTTTGCACTTTCATCTTCATTGTATGGGCCCCACCATGAAATTGCAGGGAGATCAGTAGGAATTCCCAAACTCATAATCAGAAACTGTTAATAGCCAATATCTGCCAATGTATGCAAATGGAACCCTGGGTTAAATATGAAGATACACCAGTTCCCTCTCACTCTAATCACTTTACTTCACCTCAACCATCTCCTTGCTCCATGGAAAGTTTCCTTTATTTTTTGTAATCCTGATCACGTGATTCTAGCTGAGACTTTTTCCTTTCCACTTCTCTGTCATTATCTGTTTTTAATTAAAATAAAATGAGGCTACTTCACTGCATCATGAAAATTATAATCATTTATGAAGGCTTTCCTCATTAATTTAATCTCCGGTGTGGTCATATAATTTAATATTATAGGTAACGGTTCAACTATAGAAAAGACGATTTTGATGGACTATTGTATAAAAGGACAATGACAAGGTCAATTTTTTTTTTCTGTGCAACATCAGATGTTTAAAGTGGTTGCTGTTTAGGGATGGCGATAATTTGATTATTTTAGAATACATTGTAACATGAGGTGGATCTAAGAAATTATGGTTTGTTCCTTGTTCCTTTTCTACTTCTACAACAAATCATTCTCCTCCCTTTCTCAGCATTTTGGTGAACTTCATGAAGGTTCTGTCTATGCTGCTCTCTTTTTGCCTTCTACACTTTCCCTGCATGAACGGATCCAGTCTGGTTCCATCATCATCTACATGCAGAAAACTTCAGATCTCTCTCTCTAGCCATGATATTTCTATTGAGCATCAGTCCCTAGTTCTCTCTTTCTGATGAAACTTACCATTTACACAGGTTGCAGTCACCTTACGCTCAATATACTCAGTATAGAATGTATATTTTACACCTAATGCCTTCTGAATTATTTGTTAGTAGCACTGTTAAGTATCAAGTCCCTCACCATTGGAGTTGACACTCCAGTTACAATTCATTTCCAAGTTGCATCTACTACATTTTTCTCGCATCTACCACCTTCTCTAAACACCACTGTCGTAGATCTGTCTCAGAGCCCTGTCACCTCTAGCCCTGATCAAAAACAAAACAAAACTAAACAAAAAACAAAAAACACCTCCAGATTCACCATCCACCTTCTTTACAATTGTTAGTGTTTTAGTTTAAAATGATATTTAGCCTTTAAACTCATTCTGATTGTTCCCAACTAACTT